ATTCAGGGTCTCCGGTCTGCAGAAACAGGCCCTCAAATGACAGCCAGAGGGCCCTTTGCGCCGATCGGGGACCGCCTGAGTGGATATGAGCCTACGAGTCCACTTCCCAATCCGCTACAAAGCCGGGGACAGCGATTTACACTGATCGGGGCCTCTGTATCTGTCAGCAGCCCGTAGTGGCCAACAGAGTCTGTGTTCCCAACGGGCCCCGAGCAGACCAAGGGCAGCGTTTGAAGAGGCCCGAAGAGGAGCCCGGGAGCCCCAGCGAAAGCGACGAGCAAGGCTTGGTTGGAGGGCACAAGGGCCGGAAGGGCTGGCTGTAGATCACATAAAGAAATGCAGCACGTAGAGTCATCACCTAAAATACCAGGCAGAGGTCCTCTTTCACCGCTCGGGCGCCCCCTGTGACAGTGCGGGTGTCTCGGTCGGCCAGAGACCACAAGCACCGAACAGTTGGCTCCCCTGTCAGTCCGACATCTGGGACACATTTCCCATGCGGGAGTGGGGCCGGGGGCCATACCTTGAATTGGCCTCGGCCACCGAAGCAGTGGTTGGGGTTACTGCGTCGGTCAAGGGTCTACAGTGTAACAGGGGGTCATGTGTCAGCTAGTGGCCCGAATCGGTCACAGGCTTTATTTGAGGAGGTCCGAAGAGGGGACGAAGAGCCCCTCGGGACCAAAGATCAAGGGCCCGATTAAAAGGCTGAAGGGCCCGAAGGACTTGCTGCAGGTCACATTTAGTAACCCCGCCCGCAGGGCCGTGATCTCAAATATCAGAGGGTCTCTTGTTAAAATTGGAGACACCTGAAACAGAGCGTCCTCCAATTTTGGCCAGAGATCAGAGGGATGCTAAGATCAGAGAGATCCTGTATCGGTCAGGGGCTCAGCGCCTGATAGGGTGTTCTGTGTCAACAAGGGGCTGCAAGTCGGTCGGGGGAACATTTGCTCGACAGGGACGGGGACGAGACATCGAATGACAGGGGACCTATTGCGTTGGTCGGGGCCCTCTGACCATGAAAGGATACATTATTACTTATGACGTGTGTTCACATCGAGATAATGGAACAGTCCCGTGTCAGCAAGCTGTTTTAAGGCCCCTAGTACCGAACGGCGGGCCCTCGGACCCAATTCCAGCATGGGCCCATTAAATCGACCGGAGCCTATATGCCAGTTATTGGACCACCTGCAGCGATCAGGGGTGTTGTTGCGTCAACGAAGGTGCTTGCGTCCATCCGGAGCTGCCAACTGCGGGGTCAGAAGGCCTTCCGCGTCCGAAAGGAACCAATGCGGTATGATTTATCCCTCAAAGGGCCTCCAAATCGACCAGGGGATCCCGCCCCGTGTCGTCAAATATCAGCAAATCGGCCATGTCCGGCGATTTTTTGGTGGGGGGGGGCCTTTCGCTGTCAGGGGGTCCTTTGTCAACCCTGTGCCCCCTCGCCAAGGCCCTTGCTGCGCGATTGCTCGATTTCATCAATCCCACCACGGGTAGAATGGAGGGCAGAAGCTTCAGCCGATTACGTTACTGGGCCGAAGATTGGCTCATTTGAAGTGGCTTACATTGCAATGAAATTTTTGACAATGGAACAAGTAATTGTTAGAAACGGGAACGGCGTCGCGATCATTGGTTTAAAGGGTCGCCCACCGCTCCTCTCCTGTGCCGAGTTCCCCGTTGCCAACAGCTGTTCACAAGTTGAAACCTATGACGTCAGAGGTAAGTGCGTCACAATATCTCCTGCGGATTGGAGGTTAGTCGCTTATGTATGACGTAAGTACTTGTGACGTCATAGGTAGCAGCTCAAGTAGGCACTTTGCCCATGAGGAACGCGGCCTGCTGACCGACGAAGTGCCGCCCTTCGGAACGATGCGCTATGATTGGCTGCGGAGGCGGCGACGTCAGCGGATGGACAGCCAACCGGCGGCGCCAGCAGGAATTCGAGCTGACTCGGTGGCGCGGTGCCCGGAAGACCGACCCCGCGTTCACGGACGGTGTCCTCTGGCAGGCGGCCGGAGAACGGACACGCGACACCGACAGCGTTGCGGCAGTGTTCGTGGCAGTGTACGGTCACACGCAGCCATGCAGGCACATGAACGGTCGCCGTACCTGGACTGTGCCCAGGTCCACCACGAGTCCGACTTCAAATACGAGAGGTGAGGCGAGACAAGGCTGTTTTTCGAGGCTCACCCAGCGACATGTCAATCCCACTGAAAAACTTAGCTATAAAAACTAAGTCTACGATGTTTATTGATCTGCGGGCATGATTTTTTTCCAATCGGGTTTTCTTTCCACCCTTCAGTGCCTTCCAACATGTCTGACATGTCAAGGGATGGGGGTCGGGTTTGTGGACGTGTTTCTCTCCACGCCATGCCATGAGTGTCATGCTAAATTCTGCGAAAACTGGGAAGTTCTCTTTGACCGGGCCTCCTTCATCGTATCTGAGCCAACGTTTGCGATTATGTCACCAGTCACGGCTCGTTACAGTTCTGGCCTCGCCATGTCGATCCCATTATCGCTGTCGTGGGGTCAGCTGCTGGGGCTGTATGGCGTGGCCTGCCTCTCACCACGGCAGGAGGGACAAGCTCCATTGAGCCCCTACCTCTGATTCCCTGGACGCGCAGCTTTGCCGCCACACTGCCAGCGCCCTACATACCATGCCATCCCCCCCCCTTTTGACTCCGAACTCGACTGTGGCGATGTGCAATTATGCTGTCGAACTGAAAGATATGTAGCCACCTTGCCTGGGAAGCAAGCCTCTCATCAGAACATTGCAAGCCCTCAACATGTGAGATTACAAGCGCCGGATAAAGCAATATCTTCAACCTGATCCTGACTTCCGTGGAGCTTGCAGAAGGCAGTTGTCCTTTCACGCCTCTGTGTAACGTGTAACCGAGCTAACGTGTAACCGAATACGCGGCAGTACTGCGCCATTATCAACGCGTCAGCCGGATGCTCGGCTCGCAAACGAAAAAAACGCACTCAGACCGCCTCTCGTTCGACGCAGATGCATTGTCCTGTTTACTCTGTATGCCAATTATTAGATAAGCCGGATGTGATTACTCGTAGTCGTAGTTGCTTTTTGCAAGGGTTGTAACATAGCGCGCCTCTGCTGCTGCTTCATGCGGGCTCACATGCGCTTTAGTATTGCACAACGTGGAAGGTTCTAGAACACCCCATCCCCAGTGTTTGGAGGCCGCACACCGGCGCCCCCCAGCGGCCCCTCCGCATATAGTCTGACGCATCCTGCGTAGCGTCAGACGGGCGGTGACGGTCAGAGAGAAGCGGACGAGACCCGACCACCAGTGTCGTGACGCTGCACTTCGCGAAGGGGACCTCGACCGAATATAGCTACCTTTTCACCCCCGTTCTCTGATGGACGTTGGTGAAAGGAAGAACGCTGCCCCCAAGAAGAAGCGTTGCATCTGACCTCAGTGCCCGAGAGCACGTTTTACAGATACTGTACGCTCGTGGGTAACGTCACACCAGCCGCTGCCGATGATATCAGCAGCGATGACGCCATCAAAGTCGCCCACAAGAATCAAATCGGAATGGTCCTGTTTGGACTGGGGCGTGCAGGTATAATGCAGTTTCTGCTTCCTGTAAACAGACGCCATTAGAACACCAGCACAGACGGTAGGCTGGACTGATGCATTGAACGTGATTTTAGAGACGCTCAGGATTGAAACTAATTAAACACGACAGGCAAACGCATGGCCCATTGCATCTTGAGCGTTTCCAATTCGTGGGGACTCGCGCATGAACCAGCATAGGCTGATTTACTTTAGCCCAACGACCATGACTCCTCCAGTGGATCTCAAACTCCCTCAGTTCCCCACTTAATGCTATCGTGCCACCGAAATTACGCCATTACGTCAAAGTGTCGCCAACGTTGTTTAATGCCGTCGTGTCGCTCCGTCTGATGTCACCCAGCTGGCAAGCCGCCATCATCTCACACCTGGCACGTTTCCAGGCATGATTCATCTGAGCAATCTGCTGGCAAACCCACGCGTATCGCTCCTTTACGTGGTGGAGATGGAGAGGGCGCGCTACGACTCGGTGCGCGCACGCTGGGGCGACCGCACGCCGGCGCTCGTGCTCCCTCAGGACAGCGCCACCGCCCTGGCCGACCCCAGGTCAGGATGGCCGGTGGCAGGCGCACTCCGCGGTGTGTCAGGAACCGAATGGCATGGGGTGTGTCAGGCACCGGTTGGCATGGGGAACCGTGCGGGCCGCGCGGCGCATGAGTGACCTCACTACCTCGTGCAGCGTGCAAGCGACAGGTGCGCGCGGAGCGTGAGGTGCCTGTTGAGTCTCATGCAGAGGCATTTGGGTGTGCCAGTTGACGTATTGTTTTTCTCCAAACAGGTGAGATGGTGATGTCTGAGTGAGCAGAGGTGTACGACAATGTCAGTGAAACGAGCTTGAAGGCAAATGCAAACTCGGTTTACGCCAGCCGTCTGAATGCATAACGGTGCTACTGCTGCCTGCTGGGAACAGTGGTCAAGCTGCGAAAGGTGCAGTGTTTTCGATGTTCAATCGGGCAAGCATGCTCTCACCAAAACACGCTGGCATTTACTAGTCTGTTAACACGCACCTGGGTGGCCGGTTGAATGTGATGTGCTTGGGAGGGAGATCAACCCCTCCCCTAAGATCTCAGAATTTAAGAGAGTTAGATGCACAGATCCACACGATAGAAAGGCATGTACGTGAACTCAAATGTGTCAGATTTTTTTAGGATTTTATGTCATGACCTTTGAGTTACATAAGGCCAAACAAGGTCAGATTCCAGATCGTTGTCCGAGGTACACTCAAACCTTCTCATGCAACCACCTTTCACCTGAATGGGTATCCAGGATACCTCTTACCTCCTGTCTCTGGATATCGCTTCTAAGCAAAAGGTCACTGCTGATCATGTCAGTTCAGTGACGTTATTTGACCAGCAGGAGGTTACGACGACTGAAAGCCTGCGATATTTTTTTCATCTGTTAGTCTAATTAAACGTTAAGCATTACGGTGCGGTAAGTTCCTGAAATGAAAAACAAAACAGAGTGGGTTCATTTTGGGTCAGCGACAACCTTTCACCTTTAGGAAGCCCAAATATGGTGCCAGTTGACGCTCATATGATCACAAAGTTGGATTTGAGCGTAAAACCTACGCCATGAAGCAAGTTTTCCTTTGGAAGAACGATTCGGTTTTGACCTTGGCCTGACCTTCGTACCTGACTTATCGTCAATGCAGTTAGCCCCAATACTAAGTTGAATGTTGCATGGTCCAAGAAACCACCTGGAGAACGTATAGCATCGCCTAACACTCTGATGTCGCAGTAGCCTGAGCAATTCAGTGAGACTGGCCTTGGCTGAGAGCCATGGTCTGCCTTTGATCTGCTATGGGTCAGCAGCCTTATCAGTTGCACCTGAATTGCTCGCAACCAAAAGATTGGCTGTTTAATTTTCTAAAGCCATGCAAAGTTAGGCCCGGCTATAATACACTGTCCAGAGAATATTCTGGAAAACCTTCGTGGTCAGTTCACCCCACACGAGAGCTTGTTAACTCTCAACTAATGTGTCTGTAGCGGGTTCTTAGCAACGCCACTTGATAGTCGGCCATATCCCAACAGCTGTTTATCACCAACACTGCAACCCACGTCACCAATAATGGCGTCGCACCTCCCGGCGCTCTCCCCTCTCCCACCTCGCCCCATGCCCGCAGGGTGGACGCGGTAGTGGTGGCCACGCCCACGTTCACCCACTTCGAGGTCATCCAGCAGGCGCTCGACGCCGGCAAGATGGTGTTCTCCGAGAAGCCGATCGCTGAGAACGCCGAGCAGTCGCGACTGTGCTACGAGACGGCTGCCAAGCTAGGCCTGACCGTCTTCTGCGCGTTCAACAGGTCAGCTCCTGGCTGGTCGGGAGTCATACTCCTGGCTGCTCGGGAGTCATACAGGCATGCGGCATTCGTGAGGCAGGAACAAGCTCATCCGTCCAGGCAATCTTGTTATGGTGGTCATCTAACATGACGACGCTAGGTGTTGCGCGTCGCCATATATCTGTGCCAGCTGCAGGCACAGGCGCAGCCAAGGGAAGGTGACTGGGGAGATCCGTCCCCTCCCTCCTCCCCCCATCCTTGGTGATTACGATGTTTTGTAAGGAAGCGGGAGGCCATTGCCTGGCGTTTCTTGTGAAATATCGTCATTTAGGTTGCAGTTATTTGCAGATGCCTCTGTATATATCCACTTTTTTAATTGTGGCGTTCAGTTGAGCCTCGACTCAACATCGCCATTAGCAAGGCGCAACTGGGCCATGAATATATTGCGCTTTGTCCTGCGATTGGACGACTTCAAAAATCCTGCCCCAATCCTTGTTTGCTGTGCTCGGGGGATTCTTCCCATTCGCTCAGCTGTCGGCGCGTCCGCAGGCGGTTTGACCCGGCGTTCCAGGCGATCCAGCAGGCGGCGCGCCGCGGGGACGTCGGCAAGGTGCACACGATCAAAACGGTGGCCCGCGACTCGCCTCTGCCCCCCATCGCGTATCTCAAGATCTCAGGTGGGCTCACCACGCTGCCCGCCGCCTGGCCCAGCTGCCGGCGGCATGTGTCACAGTGTTACAAGGACTGAGTGCGCCGTTGCGCAATCTGTTATTTCTGGAAGTGGGGCTTCCTTTTAAGAGTATTTGTGTCTGGCCATCTTCAGTCATGACCGCTGCCCGGGTCCTAGGGGATTTAGCTGCACCTCCAACAGTCCAGAAAACTGACGTCAGGTACCCGGCGCGGCATGGGAAAGATGAACTAGCAAAACCCACTTGCATCTTCACATTTTTCAGTTCTCTTGTTACAACAAATGTAGAAAAACCAAAACGTTGTCTTTTCCTTATTGTTAGGCTCAGATGACCTCGTCCTAGGCCCTGCGGCTTCAAACGTTGTTGCATTTGGTGGGAGTCACAACAGAATAAACAACTTGAGACAATACAAGTGCCAGAAGAATGAGGTGCTGCAGCTTTCTACACGTCCCTCACCCAATGCCTTTTGCGTGACTCAACTATTCGAAGTGCATATGCCTTCCAGACAAATGTCTAAAAGCATGACCAATCACCATTGTCGTGGAAGTGTCTGCTGTTCTGGCGTCTCGCCTCCGGCTCACTGGCACGCACGGTACGTCCAAAGTCACTTCCGTATTTGACACTCGTCGCAGGCCCTCCTCACAGTACGTCTCGCCGGCACGTCTGTCCTCGCGCCGGCGGCTCTCAGTCTTCTCCTTGTTACCGCCTCCTCTCCCGGCCCCCACGGCCGCCTCGCTCGCACGGGGCGTCTGGGGAAGGAGGGGAACGCGAGCGCCCCAAGCAACACTCGCCAAACTACGCAAAAATTCATTGTCTTGCACGTAGGTGTTCTCTGACACCTTAGAGTAACAATGAAGACTTAATCCGGCATTGAGAATGTTGAGCTGTTGAGCTTGCACCTAAACAGCGGAACGAAGACATGTCGCAGCATGAAACATGGCTCCCATCGCGATGGATAGGTCGTGGCACCGAGCGCCCCGCTAACCCGCGTTATGTGCCGGGGTGCACGGAAAATAAACCTGTCCTTGATATTGCTGCATCTGGGTGATTAGTCTGCAGAAGATAGAGAAGCACTGAAACCATAGAATGTGGTGACATGGAGGTGGCGTCGGATGAGGACATGGCCTGGAGGGCGCCAGACAAAGGTTTGCGTTGATTCGATGTGATTTGATATGTTTCATGGATTCCACTCGAGTGTGGCCGTTTGCCCTGTCACTGGGAAGACGTCTAGCGCGTTGGCGTGTGTTTTGCCGGCAGGTGGTATCTTCCACGACTGCGCGGTGCATGACATCGACCTGATCTGCTGGGTGCTGGGTGAGTTCCCGCGGCGCGCGCTCGCCTCCGCCTCGGCCCACATCGCTGAGATCGCTGCCATCGGCGACCACGACACGGTGGCCATCGTGCTGGAGTTCGACAGCGGCACTATCGGCACCATCGACATCAGCAGGAACGCGGTGTACGGCTACGACCAGCGACTTGAGGTGAGGGCAGACGGGGTTTGGTCACAGATTCGGACTAGCGCTAAGTAGAACTGTGGCGAGGCGGCAGCTGGCCGACATCGGTGATACGACCAGCCGCGACAACCAAATTCTGTCACAAGTCGCTACTGTCCTACAGTTGCTTGGCAGAGGTACGCTCAGGAACCCCGCGTAATTTGCATCTGTCTGTATCTGCAGCTGTCTTTACCCAGCGCCGGGTACCTGTACACAGTTCTGATCCAGTGACCCCCGGCACTTGTTTTGACGCCATCACACAAACCGGACGGATAAACGTCGTTTGCGAGGCGTACCGTCGCAGACCTGCCAGCATGGAGCGCCACCGGCGTGATGGTGTGCTGGACGGCCCAGTGGCGTTCTCCACCCGACACCACCTCACCGTGTCCGCGTGTGGCCCGCAGCTGCTCGGCCTAGGGTGACACGATCTCGCGGACCTCACCGTGTCCGCGTGTGACTCGCAGCTGTTCGGCCTAAGGTGACATGACCTCGCGGACCTTCCCGTGTCCGAGTGTGGCCCGCAGCTGTTCGGCCTAAGGTGACACGATCTCGCGGACCTCATTGTGTCCGTATGTGACCCGCAGGTGTTTGGGCCCAAGGGCCTGCTGACGGCAGAGAACGAGCGGCCAGTGAATGTGCGTCACCAGACGTCCAGCGGCGACACAGCCGTACCCTTCTACTTCTCCTTCCCCTCCCGCTACTCCGAGGGATACGTCCTCGAGCTGGAGGCCTTCCTGGATCACGTACAGGGTGTGTGCAGGGCTCACCGGCAGGACACTGGGCCTGGTTCAGCATGGTGTTGGCGTAGCCACAGATGCTGGTTGTTCTGTTCTCGTCGTCCATGGCCAGTGAATTGTTGGTAACATGGGGTCTTACACTGACTGTGAGAGAGGACCATAAGTTCTCATGAAAGGAGCTTTGAGCACTTAGTAAACACTTGAACTCTCTGGTGCTCTCTGTTGTGACCTTTAAACACTTAGATTTCTCCCGCAGTGTGACTGTTAAACTTGTAAGGGACACCGAGTTACACCTGTTACTCCCGTTTGTGCTGACCTCGCGGAGTGATGCGATTACACCAAGCCCAGGCCATGTTGCAGCCAGGCTACAGGCAAACTGTTTACTGTTTCAGACAACCTGTAAGGAACACATAACGATAATCTTCTAGGCGGAAAAAGGGCGTGCGAATAAAGTAGTAAAATGTTTCCCAGCATAGTTTCTTACCTGCTTAGATAACCTTGGATGCAAAATTAACGACTACTCAAACTGAGGGGCCAGTACACAAAGCACATTTGCCGCACTTTGGTTGAATGCTACATACGCTACTTGCAGTGACGCGCGCATCATTTTCAGGTAAAATTCCGCTGCCCATCCTGCCCGAGGACAGCTTGAGAGTGAGCAAGATTGCCTCGGCCTGCGAGGAGTCGCTGCGCACGGGGGCGTTTGTCACCATCGACTACGCCCAGTGAGCGGCAGTGGCGGGCCGGAGCCCAGCTGGCCTCCATCAGGGCGGTGAACCTCTCCGCCAGACATCGCGAGGACGCGCCGGCCTCCGAGGTCGCCACACGCCCCAGCGCTAGGCACGCCGCCGGACGTCGGCTGCTGCGTCCTGTAAACATTGGCTCCGGTTCAGCCGCCGCGTGTCATCTGTGCATGTCTGGCTAGTGGTGCGTTGTTTATGTTACGGGTAGTAAGCCGGGATAATGTCACCCATTTTTGTGGCGGGGGAGGGACGGGGTCGTAAAACCGTCACTACACTTGAATGAAAATACAGTTGTTAGAAATCATGCGTTTCATAACTGCCGCTCTTGTAAATGATCATTGCTCAGCGAATTCCTCACGCTGAAACACCGTAAGGCATGATGCACGGGAACTGGGGATGGGGGGGGGGGGGCAGGGGCTGAGGCTCACAACTTTCTGAAAATTTAACATTGGCCCTTTGGGTGTTGACAGGAAAGAACTGATCAAAACGTCTATCATCCCCAATTAATCAAAACGTGAGTGGACGTCTGTCCCCCCCCCCATCCCACCGAAAAACAATATTGCAGTTTCGTGCTTGTGTTCAGCACAGTACATATGATCATCTCAACCAATTTGCCACAAATTACATCAGCTAATAAGCGTGTATATGTACGATGGCAAGAGCTCGCGGAGTGAACTGTGCTGCATTCCTACCCCCTAGCTGTAGTATGGTTAGGGCGTTCGATTCCAGAAGTTTTTTTACTTGTTTATGAAAAGTTATAACGGAGAAGAAAAAAACTGGTAACTTATTACGGTGGCAATGAAAGTATCTCAACGACACCCGGCTTGAGGATCAGAGTTTACATACACCTTCCTGGTCTATACCACCACCATTTATGGCGCGGTCCTGAGCGCAGCCAAACGTTCTTTGACGAGGGTTATGGGCGAGGGTTAAGTTCAATTCCGTCCGCTGTTGAAACGCTTCCTTCTCTCCTTTCCCGGACATCTCTGATCATTATGCTGCCTGCCGCCACGGCTGTCGCCATGAAGCTCACATGCATTCACATGCGTAGTTGTTCGCATGGCTTTGATGTCGTTCTCTCTTAACAAGTCATCTTTCATGCAAGGCCTGGAATTTTATTATGACCAGGCAGCAAAAACAATCCTCCAATTAGTATGTCATAGTCCCAAATCTCGTGACGTCCACCATGTCGGCACCTTTCCGCGGGCGGACTTTATCCCTGCCGTCTGTGAGCGGAGTTAGAACACTGGCGCAGCACGCGCTGAATCCAGAGCCGCACCACCGCAGGCGCACTGTTCAGCAGTCCTGCCAGCAGGGTCAAGGTTCGGCGGTGTCGGGCCGCGTGCAAGCAGGGCGGACCGTTAGCCGTGCATGAGAGGTGCTGCCACCTGTCGAGCTGCCTGCCCACTTCGAGACTTCATCCTCAGACCACGTCAAACACTCGAGCAAGTGCTCCCGTGTACGTGCGTCGTGCACGTGTCCGTTGGCATGGCACGACGTATGTACCATGTCATCGGACACGTGTCGCATGACACACACGTTGTACCATATCATGTATGTATACATGTCCGGTGTCCGTTGTATACACATATTTCGTACGGCTGTTGCAGTCTTTTCAACAAGTGTAATCAGTTAGTAATCGTTGATAAATGGCAAGAAATCACAGCGCTGAACCGGGGACGTCAATTTTTTCAGATGATTGGGAGAGCCGAGCGGACGCCCCCCGCCCCCTCTCTCCCAAGGACTTAGTCCCGTTTATTTGGACGAAAGGCAAGTTATGTTTTAAATAAATATATCATTAAGGATTAGCATTTCTTTTAAACAGCACAGTGATCATACAGGAGCGGATCTAGAGGGGAGCACTAGGGGCACGTTTCCTCTCTGATCAAAAACTAAAGGCGCCCCTCTGGAAGCCGCCCTAGCGCGCCGAATACACTCTACTACAGCGACCATACCGTCATAGAAACGTGCGGGTAGGAGGGGGACGGGGACGGGGTTAGTTATGAAGGGCGTGGTCATTCCCGTAATTCGGAGCTCTTCAGTTTAACCTCTCAAACCTGTGCGTGTCTCATGACCCTAGATGTATAAAGTTTACTGCATCGTTTCTCGAGGCAGCATGCACGATTTTTTATATGGAGATGAGAGCAAACCCAATTTGAGGAGGGATGCGAGAGGAGGGATGTTCTTGTGATGGTAGGTGCACTTCCATACAAGACAAGCAGCCGGGTTTTGCGTCTATAAGGCGGCAAACATCCGGCTGCATGAACGGATCCAGTTGTGGGGGTTTGGGTGCCGAGCCATTCGGCTACATGACATAGTCTACTCATATTCTTTTCCGTCCTTAAATTATATGGCACGCACCCCGTGTAAAACAGTGCTACCCTTTACTCAAGTTAGGATTTTTGCACGGCTCACGAACGGCGCAAAAGTTTTGGTCTTAACTTGGCACAGTACAACATTTTTCATTTCAACCCTGCCATGGCATCAACAGTTGTAATCAATAGTGCAACCATGATCAATAATACTCAACAATGCTCAACTACACTCAGAAGCTTATCATGAAAAGTTTGCGTTTAATAGATGTCTGTCTGCTGCATGACCATTTGCAGTTGACGCGCCTTAAAACACCAAATCAATGCTTGTATGGGACTGAAGCGAAAGCAAACTGTTTGAATTAGATACGTAAACGTATGCTGTAAAACAGCAGTGAGGATGAGCTTGTAGCTGTGGTGTATAATGTTTTAAAGACCTAATCCGAACCTTTTGAGTAGATGGATTTCTGTGGTCAGATCTCGCGCTAACCAGTGCTTTTGTGAGCCTTGGCCCCTACCATAAGATTGCTCAATTCCATGTCAAAGACAGAATTTGGTGGCGAAAGATCAAGGTGCCGCAATGCTTTGCACGGTCTGCCCTGTTGTATGACGTCATCTGACCTTTATCGCGGCCGCTGCCACCTGCCGCAGGCTATCCTTGTCAAGAGAAAATGGCGAGTACCCAAAGCGACTCGCGCGTACTCCGCCACTGGTGGATGAGTCGAAATGCAGGCGTTCTGACCTACTGAGCCATCGGGACGAAAAAGATGTGTTATTAAAAGTGTTGGTGAATGTTAAATGTTATAAAATATGTTATAAAATGGGAAAACGCATGCGTTATTAATTGGAACACTATATGCATGTTTATTATTAAAGGGAGTGTTCTATACTTATAGGGTTTTTTAACTGGAATAGCCATCTTGAAGACCTTTCGGTGTAAATCACAACCCAGCCTTCTTTAGACATAAAACTCTCAGAATCTAACCTACGCGCTCGCGAAAATTGGTATATAATTTCGGGGAGAGTGCTTCGATGTCACCTTGGTATTCATGGCATCATGAAAACATCATTCAAATGCTGCCGTTTCGCAAGCCATGCTGCGATCAAGGCCGAGAGAATTATGATGGTCGAATCGCTTACATGTGGCGCTCATGAGCACGATTCCTAGATATAACGGCCGTCTATCAATCAATGTTGTGCAAGGCACAATGACATAATTAAATGACGACATATCAAGAAGCACATTTACTAAACAGGAAGTTGTGTTGTTTAGAGCAGTCTCTTCTACTTAAAAGCTTACCAATAGTTATCAGTAAAGTTCTTTAATTATATCTGATGTCATGCCTCTATGTCAAGTGTTAAACATTCCCTTTAAGCTGTTGGCGCTCCCTCAGGTGCGCGTCAATTTTCATTCACGTGACATGTTTACTTTAATGTAAACCACTTTGATTTGATGAGGGGTAGTTCTTCATCAGCATGGCAATGTGATCAAGGGCCATACTACAAAATCAGTTTGACTTAATGCCTTAGATTGTGTACTATTTAATGGTATCATTATCTGCAGGACACGATGAAGCACTTCGTCATTGCAGTCGCGGCTAAACAACGTGGCTAAAGCAAAATCAAAATACATTGGCTACAGGATTCCAAATGATTGATGCCTCATTGACGGCGTATCGGACCACTCACTGTCTGAAGGCTATACGGTGACCTTCAGAGATTATGGTACAAAAGGTCATATACTTGGCGCTATGAAAAGCACGTGTCAGTTTTAATATTTAGATTCAGTGTATTATGGACGGAATAATGCATACAGCCTTCCAGTCCAGGCCTCTTGATGGCCTGGATGTTAAACGGGAACCTTTAAAGGTAAGGTCACCAAATGTGCGTATATCGTACATCATGGTGAACCCATATCCTCTGTCAGATTTGGATCAGAAGGATTTCCGAGGGAGTAATCCATGACCGTGTTTGCGGCCTCTGATCGCCTGGGGGCCATTTGGTAGCCTTCAGAGGTCAGGCCGTTTAAAGTGCATATACCTGACGACATGATGCACACGTGACTATCTTCGTATTTGGATTCAATGCATTAATGTTAGAGTTATGCCTGGAAACGTTTTTGGCGCATACAAACAAGAATCCGAGTGTAAATACGTTGCTAAAATTTGTGAAACTAGCCCTAGTTTGAAGACATTAGTCATATAGTCTGTCTGAAGACAGACAGACCTGAGTTATGCCTGGTAACGTTTTTGGCGCATACAAGCAAGAATCCGAGTGTAAATACGTTGCTAAAATTTGTGAAATTGGCCCTAGTTTGAAGACATTGATACAAATGTTCCGAAAAACTGTACGAGGACCGGTGATTATTCCTGCAGTTTCTGTGCAGAACTTCAGTGGTATTGAGTAGAATATTAAAGGGGGTGTTTCCACATTTGTATCTGGCTTTTTAACTATAATAACCATATTAAAGACCTTTTGACGGAGCTCATGGCTGTGTCCTTTTTAAGATGTAGAACCCTCTAGTTCCTGAGCTTAAATGCCGCAAAAATGGCGTGCATGGAATGGAATGCATGGCGTCATCATAACGTCATTTCAATCCTGCCATCTCAATGTCCATGCGCCGATTAAGGCCAAGGAGGATATAATTGTCGAGGCATCATATCTGCCGTTCGTGAGCACAATCTTCAGACATAAGGGCCCTCAGTCAGTTTTTAACCACTGTTGTGCAAGATACGATGAAGCAATTAAGCAATGACGTATTGAGGAGCATATTTAATAAATAGAGGAACTGTGTTGTCTACAGCAGTTTTTTCCATTTAAAAGTATACCAAGTATACCAATAAGCGAACTTGTTTCATCCTGTTTCATACTTGATTCAATATCTTCAAATATGAAACGTTCTCATTAAAGTAAACCACAGGTGCAGTGACGTCTCAGAAAGTGTATGGATGGAGGAGAGGGGTCGA